CAAGCATACGATTACGTTGGTGGGCAATCACATGCATGGTGGTGTCGGATGTGTTTCGGAGGTTTGCTTGAGGGACTCCGCCGGGTGCCTTTGACTCGATAGTCTGACCCACAAGGCAATGGGGAGCAGATCTAGCTCGAGAATGTGATTGCAGAGACAGATTCGGATCTGCTTGACGTCTGTCACACGCAGCCTTTGGAGATTTGGAACAATTCCTATACGTTGTGGGACCGTAATAAGATAGACACCTTCGACCACGGTCAGATGCAAGTGGGGTTTGGCGGGTTTTTACCAATTTGACCTGGTGCTTCCTGGCTTGATTTGGGCAGTATCAAACCATTGAACACCCGGAGGTGCTCACGCACTGTCAGTGGATATGCGTGGCGCTGGTGGTCTACGCCAATCGAGCGTTGAGCTTATAACCCGTAGACCTGTTGTCTCCCATGGCTAGGTTTTACGGGAAGAAGGCCATTGACCACTTCCTAACCTCCGAAGAGGATGGACTAGGATACTGGCAGGGCGCCCACACCTGACAGGAGAACGACTCGGGACCCTCAGCCAAAGCCTTCCATTAAATGTACACCGGAAAGGCTGTGGGTCTAGCGCATGGTCAGTTCACTAACTTATTCGCATTGGTGTTATGGCTCTTAGCCAGTAGAAGGGGGTAACCAAACTCCCACCCAGCGGTCGTCAAGAGGAGGCGTCCAGGACATGAGCCCATGGCACAACAGTAGCAGCAGTAGGTATACGATCTATCAGGATTTAGCCTCCACCAGCCTCGGCGCACCATAGTCTTTCCCGCCAAATTTTAACAGCATTGGCAAGTGTACACCACAAATGATTCGACCACATTTACTTAGTCTGTTCATGGAGGTAAGCAGTGAAGTAGGGACAACCAAATTTTCATTGTATCTCTGAAAGTGTCTCTGTGCCCGAACCAACTCGTATAAGGAAAGTCGGGGTTTATGGATGAAAGCCGCTGAGTTATGGTTATTTCTGTCTTCCATTGGGATTGGTTTCATTGATTTCCACGAACAATTGACAAGAACGTCCAACGCGTAGAATCAGGATGGGGAGCTGGATTCGGCAAACGGCCTAAGTGTTACACTCTACACTAGCAAACCTTGGTCCATCACGATGTGACTGGACCTTAACTTAGTGTGGTTTTGTGTGCCTCAGTAATCCATTAAGCTATGCTGGGTGGTGCTTTTTACACCTACAGAGCCACTCATACCAGATTGGTCAATGGTTAAAGTCCAGACAAACTCAGTCTCCTGGCATTCCAGCTTGGGAGTTGTAGTGAGGATATCTCCTTACTCCATAAAACGCGCTCTCTGTAGTCCAGAGCCAAAACTCCGCGGCCTTGCGGTCAGCTTTTTAACCAAAGACATTGGTTGAGAACTCTGATCGTTCTCCTGTCTAGGCCTGGGCAACACGACAGTCGCCCTACGACTTTTTCATTCTTATCGTCTCGCTCCAACTTCACTTGTATCCTTCCCCTCGTTTTCAATCCCACAATTCTTGGCCCTACCCGACCTTGCTTCAATAGTCGCTTATCACCTAGTTTGAACTCCCACAGAACACTGGACTCCGCAATAGTCCGGTTGATAAGTCCATGTTCAACCAAGCGAAAGATGATAGTTCATCCGTTTCCGTTTGGAGTCCTGGAGTCTCGCTGATACTGGCATGCCTCAAGGTACGCAATTTGCATCTGATTGGCCAACAGGCAGCACTTGCCCGAACACTCGAGACCCTCTTGACCGATATTTGCTGTTTATCGTCAACCAGCCTGCAAAATTCGAGCTCCGTGCTTATCCCGTGATCCACACATGCGACACTGGGGGCACATTCTCATCGTGCCTGCCTGGCGAGGATGCAGCTTCAAAGACAGGTCAAGCTGGAGTCGGCACTTTTTGGGTCCCCGAGCTGAAGCTGCCCTGATCGAATTTATCTCATTCAATAGCCGAATGTGCACCGTTATATTATCTGGCTCATTCCAGGCTTCAAAGTCGCGCGGGGACCAACCGTGCCTATTTATCATTGCGGCGTACGCCCCCACAAACCGCAGCTCTGCTTCGGTGAAAGATGATCTCTAGCAGCGACTGAACGATCGCCATTGATACAGAAGAAGCACGCATATTTCAGTGCTCGCTGCTGATCTAAACGCCCAAGTAGGAAAATCGTCCTCTGAGGAGCCTTGTCTGGGCGACCAACATAGTGTAGACTCCCGTAAAGATAACGGTGAGCGGTTGCTTCACCTGTGTGAAGTTGATCGTCTCTTTCTCTGGAGCACTAATTTTGGACACAGCACCCGCAGAAGAGTGACTTGGCGCTCACCAGTCTCGGACCAGCCCGGGACGCAAATCGAGCACATCGCGACTAGTTAGGGCTGAAGAGGCTGTGTTCAAAACTGTCATTCGATTTGGAGCACCAACTTGGTCTCCGACTACGCTGTTGTGTGTGCCGACCTCCGAGTTCGTTTCGGCAGACGTCCGCAAAGTCCCTCTGAGAGCGTTGAGACTGGCCGACTGGCGAAGCCAAGTGTTCTGAGTACGTTAGCATCAGGTCTATGTAAGCGGGCACTAAACTCCGTCGAAGATTACTGGTTGCATACTCGCTAAACGTTACTCTCAACAGGCATGTTTTCATATGGCAACTCAAATTACCAACCTGGACATTGAGTTCCTACATGGTCTATGGAACCTGCGGAGGCACGCCGACGTATTCCGGCTGGAAGCGAATACAAGGAAACTCGTAAAAATCTCAGGGCAAAACTGCTTGCTGGCCTGAAGAGAGACCGTGTAGTCTGGTTGTCGCCTCGTGCATCGGACATGCAAAGAACCATTGTCCTTTCTAAGCATCGTCAGTTATTCCGTCTGTTATGGGAAACAGGCAACAGGAGATCTGGTGTTAGCGAAACAATACTCGATGAGATTGGACAGCTGATCCACAGTTCATCAGAACGCTTGGAGCATGGGGCCGAACACTTAAACAATTTAACCAACCTGAGTTCTCACTTCCTTTTTCGGGCATTGGGTGCCCTTCTCCGTGGGCCATCTCTTTGGATCTGCCCTCTTGCGCAGAAGTTGAAAGTGTGATCAGACTGCTTAAATTGAATATGGCTGCAGAGACAGATAAAATTCTACTAGCCCTCTTCAAATTCGGAAGACTTGCTCTTCCAGACGATTTGCACGAGTTATTAGTGAAACTATGGGAGCAGGAAACTATCCTAGCAGGATGGACCCACTCCGTTTTCAACGGAGGCTCCCGTTCGGCATGCGATAACCATGGAGGGATCAGTTTGGTCTCAATTACCTCTACATTGCTTGCATTTTCGTTCTCCAGAGACTAACTGGCACTCGTTAAAGGCTCTTGAGGAGCAAGCCGGCTTTCGTCGAGGTCGGCGATGCGTCAAACACGTCTTTACCTTGCATCAATTGTTGGAGCAATGCCATGTTTACTGGTGACTCAGCGTTGTCGTGGTTCTTGACATAAAAGGTGCCTTCGATTCGGTGGATCGATGTACTCTTTGGGACTGTATGCTGAGAGAAAGTTTTCCCGATAAATATGTATACATAATCAAAGCGCTGTACGCGCCTAGTTCGGGAAGAGTGAGGGTTTATGTCAAACTGTTGCCACCATTCAGTATCACCAGCGGTATGAGACAAGGTTGCCCGCTGTCACCTTTCCGATTTAACTTCACAGTTGACGAAGTCCTGCAAACAGCATTCGCCTGACACGACCTAGAATGTGTGGAGCTACTTCCTGTTGAGCGGCATGTTGACTTTTAGTATGCGGACAATATTGCCATAATCCGTGACGGCTCCCAAACGTCAAGCAGCACTGGACCGAGTAGCACTGGCTGTCAATCGTGTTGGGCCATGCTTTGCTCCATCGAAATGCAAAGTACTTCTCCAAGATTGGCAGCGACCAACCACTGCGCTAATATTTTATGGTGACCAGTTAGAAGGCTTTCAGGAATGCAAGTATTTGGGCAGCTAAATTGGCGCCCATGGGATCGAAGATGAGGTTACGAACCGTGTAGCAAAAGCTGGAGGTGCTTTTACCAATCTCCGCTACCTGTGGCGCATACGCGACAATACTCTCGCCCAGAAGGGCAGAGTTTAGAAGGCAGTCGTCCGTTCAACTCTCTTACATAGTTTCGAAACCCATCCCTTCAGGTCGACAGACGTAAGCAGGCTCGTCACATTCGATCATTGCTGCCTTCGCAGCTTAGCTCCTGTCTGGCGGGAGCACCGCGTGAGCAACGAGCGTGTTCGGCGTCGCGTATTTGGTGCAGGAAGAGCGAGTGAACCGCTCAACACCATTATCTCACGCATCAGGCTCCGATGGCTGGGTCACGTGCTGCGCATGCCAACACACCGACTCCAGAGAGGTGCATTGTTTGCACTTCGGGGGTGCGGATGGAAGAGGAGGAGAGGTGGCAAAGCGATGACTTGGTCAAGAGGAATGAATGCCCTTACTTCGTAGTTGGCCTCGGTTAGAGACTCCTGGCTCCTTGGTTGCAGACTGGAAGGCAGTGAACACCATTGGCTGGGTACACTTGTTGACGTGGCTAGGAGCCGAAGCCAATGGCGTTTGTGTTGTGAGTTTCTTTGTTCCTCCACCTCCAACCACGATCCAAATTATTAGGCATAATATGGCCTTTTTGGCACAATAGCCAGCTATTAGCTTTCCGGAACCACGTCCATCCATTACTAGTAACTCGGCCGGCGTGCCCCTGTTGCATGTCCTTTTTCTTTTCCCATATACTGCGACACAACCGGAGGTGTTTTCTACCTGCATCTAACGTGTATGTTGATGATGAGCAAGCCCTGGTGTGCTAGCAGGCTGGCTAAATTTGGTCGAATTCCGCGCTCTCATGACTTGTTGGTTTCTTGTCAAATCCCCTTCCCTCCTAAGAGACTAATTGTTTCATGTATGTCCTTCGGTACAAAGTGAATTGACAGCTCTTGAACACCTGCTTTTTTCCGTTGAAGCCATCAAGAAGCTACGTGCTATCTCGACCTTGCCATCCAGCAGATACTACTTCAGTTGATAAAGATTGCATTGCAAACCGCAACGCTCCAGTTGGAAGACTACACACCTTGTAAAGTAAGTTAATGTTCGTCGACTGTGAATATGAACAAGTTTTCCAACTTTACTAAACACTTTGGAGTGCGCTCAAGAGTATGCACCCAGCCTGTCACGAATAGACTGCGGCCGTCTTCCTACTTCGGTTCCCAGCTCTGATCAAATGGAAATAGCTGATTCCGAGCTGGACACATTTTGCCACGAAGTATGTCTAGATGGCCTAAATCGTCAGGACCGTATCAACACTAGCCAGTACCTTAATTTTTGGTGATGCCATAAGTTATCTTCGTTTAAGAGTGGTCAGTCTCACACAAAGGGCACTGCCACACGCCTAAAGGCTACGATGCACACTTCCTTATTTGACTGTCACAAGTTCTACATATTTTCGGGTTCAAAGTTTTCCTAAACGGGCGAGCACACCACAGGCACCGCTAAATTCGAGTTACCGGTATGCGGCGAAGGCGAGGTTTGCAGAGATGTATAACAGTTTTAGCAACTGATCCATGCTATTCTACGGAACCAATATCTTCTGCATTTTACCTGTCGCGATACCTTTCTTCTAAATTAGGAGTAAGAAATGGGGGACCTAATCTGTGCTATTCACATACTTTGCAAGTTGCATTCACACTCCTGGTTCATAAGGCTTCATGACGAGTATTTGATGTACGCGATGGTTTTAGAGCAAATTCAGCCTACTTTCAGAATGCCACACATTTTATCCATTTATAAGTCAAACCAACCGCCATCAGTGATGTGGACTGGGTTGCAATCAAAGAGTAAACACTGAATACACCTACTGACACTGAATTTGGAACCTGCGCATTTGTGCTGTACGCGATTTATTTCCCACGGCACTTCGTATCACCTGAACTAGAGATCAAATATGCCTGATGATTTCAGGGTTTTGTGCATACAACTGCTTATGACGACTCCGACAAGTAGAGGTAGGTACATTTTTCGTGGAAAATCCCTCGCTGTCCACAGAAAACCCATTGCAGTGAGAGAGTTTTACCTTGGGAGCAAATGTGCTTTAGTACTTAGTGGTTTTCATGCTTGCGTCACCAAACGCAAGCATGAAAACCACTAAGTGTGAATTCTCATCCAATACCTTTAGAAGAACCCACGAACTTCTCTAGCTCAAAGAAAGAAGCTATCCTGGATCCAATGTTTCGCAAGGAATAATTCTTCCGAAAGCTTGCGGATTGGCATGAATCTAGAAGTAGAATGTAGCCCTGAGAGCTGGCATCGTCGTAAGCCCTTCATTTTGGTCGCAATACCAGCGGCACTAATGACCAAAGTCAACTTTGACACACATTGTGGTGCAATATATATAAAGCTTATGAATCGGAGACGTCGTTGTGTGGCGCGTTCCCGGAGTAGCCATCCATACCTAATTACACGTTATACATAGTAAACACACATGGGGTTTGATATATTAGCCAGCGAAACTCGTTAACTGCCAGGCGATATATATATATATATATATATATATATATATATATATATGAACGCGCATTGCACTTGAGGATAACTGAAGTAACGTACAGCCTAACCTAATCGCGTAACCATAATAGACGTGGGACACTCTACCTGCCTTCAGCTGAGTGTAGTCGAGGGATTAATGGTAGTTCCCAGTGGACAGTGTATAGGCGATTGCCATGATTTCTTGCTCGGTTGAAAGAGCGGTCCTTATTCTGTCCAACGCCGCGCCACTAACATAGGTGAAACCAATGGACGATTCAGAATGTATCGCCTACGTGGGTAAAACTTAGTTGCTACGGCGAACACAGTCGATCTCACCACTCTCTGATAGGTGACAAATAGCTATTAAGTTTCCTGTAATGGTTTAGAGGCGCACGTCCTTGGTGTCGTCTCGGCGTATCTAACCACTACCGGTCTTCCACGACGATGTGTAACCTAAGGGAGCATAACTTTTTGAGTTACCTAAAACTTCTTAAAGCTACACTCAATAAAACGACACTAATTTTTAAGCTTGGTAGTCGTGTTCACAATACAAACTGCGCATAATTCCTCAGTTATCAACTTGTCAAGTACTCATAACAACACCTGGTCCACCTGACACCATAATTACCATCCTGATTACCGCGAAGCTTCAGGATCCGCTATGGTCCTGAACACCATTGTACAACCCTGAATGTGGATATTTCCATTACCAGGGAAAGTAGCAATTTTCATCCCGCTAACGTGCTCACACGCACTGGCTTAATGGTCCTTTTGCAAACTTCTGCATTATTCTCGATCTAAGGAGCGACGTTCTTCCCTGCAGCTGGCATCGGTCGGGACCAAGCGGCGACTGTCAGTTAGTGATAAGGAGACAGCAGTGATCCACCTTTTCAGCCGGTGACGCACAACTCCGCAACTGTCAGTGTTGACAGTAAATTATGCATCTTTCATGCGCACCCTATGTGAATTCAGATCGTTGTCAAAAGCCGAGAAAAGCGGTGTTAGAGGGCTGCTATTTGCCTAACGTCGTTGAATTTCGTATATTATCTACCGCTGGTCGATAGTGCGAAAGCCTGAGATACCCTCCGAACGGCATACAACTATTAGCGGGAACTGCTGCGTGATCGGAGTGCAGACAAGTTGACCTGTGCGATCGGCATTCCTTTACCCGCCCGAACCTTCTGTGTCTTATTGCTATATGGTCAAGCTTGGACCGCTCGTGCGTTTGAGAAGCCGGCGTCAGGTAGCAGTCTGACTCTTCTAGTGTCGAACGCTGGTTCTTAAAAGAAACAAGCGATGATCTGGACAGATAGTCAGTAGCCTGTATCAATTGTCTGATCGGATGCTACAGAGGCAGAACTATCCCAAAACTGGTGCTCGCTTGGTGGCAGGCAGCCCACTTGGGCAGTACAATTTCCAACACGAATGACTATATCAGAATTTTTGGAGGTACGCAGAAGGTCACGTAGTTGTTGGTAATACCAACAGTTAAGTGAATCCTGTCTAAAGTCCGTAGGAGCGCTGCTGTCACCGTGGCCAGCCACAGGACGCCTACACTTACAGAGGGACCATGGGTGGCTTGCGCTGCACCATCCACCGCTCAAACCACACACCCCAAATCCAGGTGTAAACCCGAAGGAATAAGACCGGGATGCAGGTGGATGGGAGCCATGTTTCCTCAATGGAGCCGGCCCACACTCCTTCACAGGCAAACACAAGCACGCTGTAGTTGGGGAATCAACCGCACACAAGGCGGTGGCTGGACCGTAGTCCGCTCCACACTGAGTGCATGGAACCACTTCGAGCCTAGCACGACCACAAGGACCGTGCACCCTGTCCCATCCAGCAACGACCAACTGTCTGCTGAAGACAGTATGGAAGAGGTAGGGGATAATAGACAGGTAGGCACCTTGTCAACATGCACATCAAGCGCAGCAACACCGGGAATGTAAAACAACAGCCAATCACTTGAAATGACATTATCAAATAAAATATATCTGTTAAGTAATACGGCTATGCAGACATTACCCTGAATTAACATATGAAACAAGTTGGTTAGCAACGAATCTGTGATAAGTGCAACATGTCCAGAAGTTACTCAAAAATACTACAAACGCAATAAAGTTAACGAAGATAACCACAATTAGCGTAAGCAACGCGGCCAATTAATAGAAGATTATTCAGGTAGGCAGAACAAACCAAGTAAAGTGGAATGAAATTTACCCAGCTTAATAAGACCTAATTTAAGTGTAAGTTGATTTAGCCCAACTGTCGTGAAGAAGCGCCAAGAATACAACATCGACCCCTGCATAGGGCATATATATATATATATTTATATATTTATTTATTTATAGCCGTCTAAGAATAGACATAGAGCCATCAGAAACCATGGGGCCATAAAGAAAGTACAGAAATCGTAAACGAAGTCACAACACAACACATCGTAGTGCATGATTTCGTCAGAGAGTGAGATCTTACGCGGTTGTCCAAACAGAAGTACGGTGTGGACTTAGGAGACACCACCCCAAGCCCTTGGCGGAATAATTTGCCTAAAAGGCAGCGGAACGAATTTGTTTATCAAACAGGGGCACAATACTCCCCAGAATTACAGTATAAAGTTGCTGGTACGCAATCCTTCGCGAGAATGAAGCAAGGTGCAGTGACTTTATTTATTTGCGAGTCACATCCGCCATATCACAGTGCCGTTAAAGGGACATTTGTTCGTTTTTATGGGGAGTACGCTTGACAGGCGAAAACCCACCACGGTCTGGAACAGTGACGCCGAACCATTTGCAGGAACGGGAAAATCCCGAACAACCCAGTTGGCACCACGAGGAGGTTGCTTAGCAGGCCAGCCCCACACACGGATAGCCGTCTCATAGACTAGAGTTCTCGCACAGAAACGACGGATGTACGGTATCCCACCATCAATACGGTGCTCCACACAAACACCCTAAGCACAAACGCATCAAAAACACAAGACATCATTGCATGAAGATAGATATTAAACAGGCTAGCAGCTAAGACACAGCCTTGATACACGTCAGAGACGACTGCAAATTTCTCTGAGGTCTGCCTACTCAGCTATACCCTCGTTTGCATACCACTGTGCAGACATTCAATTAAACTTACAGAGGTACTCAGACAAGCAAACTTCCTCAACACCTGCCATAATGCCTCGCGCTTCACCGTATCAAATACCTTTGTGAAATTAACAAAAGGCGAGGATAACGGCTGGTGTCGTTCTCTGCACTTCTCCTGCAACTGACGCGCCGCAAACAATATATCGATGGCGATGCGAACAGAATAGAATCCCCATTGCTCTTCCGTGGCGTTCGATTCCACAACCCAACTGATGAGGCGGTTAAGCAGGATTAGAACAATCATCTTGCCCACACAACTCTGCAATTTGAAACCAAGTTGAAACCCAAAGGGTCGAAACTATGGTGTTTGGTACTTTTCTAGACTAACCTAAGCCTGCTGATTGGGAGTGACGATGAGGAATTAGCTGGATGATACCACGATAATTCATGGCACATTGTTTGCTTTCTTTACCC